ACGCAGAAACCACGATAACCGCGCCCGATACCCCCGTGCCGCCAAACGAGAGTCAAAATGCGCGTTAACTCGTACCCGGTCCATCCTGTTGGTGTTTTCCGTATTATCGAAACCTCACACAAATAGCGCGCCCTGTAATCTATTGGAGTATATACCGGGAGATTAGTCCATATTACCTGTAGAGCCTAGATAAGTACCGCCAGAGAACAGAATTCTGGAATGCGTGAAGACTCCGCGGTATGCAGGCAATCTATTGGGCACATCGCGCTATGCGGTAACATTCTTATTAGTACCACCCTTGAAATATCCACGAGTTAGAATAATAAAGAAGTGATAAGTACGTGTGTTCCCTTGAAATTCGGTTAGGAAGTCAAGGTATTGTTGGCAGCTATTTTCGAAGCAATTACATCTACAGAAATTTATGCTTGTTGTTAGAAAGCAACATAGAGTTTTAAAAATGCCAGATCCTGTTCCTACCTGCAACCTGGGATCAGTCAGCAAGGCTTTCGTGGATACGCTCATCTAATTCCGCAATCGTCGCTATCATTCTGCGGTCTCATTATCAGTTCTTATCGGAACCCGCGGGTACGACCACCCAGTAACGACCACCAAAGTAAAACCAAACACCGCCCCAGGTAAGTATGAAAAAAAAAAAAAACCGCCCACCTTGATACCGCCACGTGCGTTTTACCAATGACACGTATACGGCGTGGCCAGCCGTGCGTGGTAATCTGCGTGTACCCCGTGTAAACGTGGTAACGCGTGTGTACGTGACAAGAGTGTCCGGCAAACAAAAAAAAAAAGATGGATGTAATCTCCGTGTAACCCGCTGTAGACTGCCGTGGGTAAATCTGCGGTGTAACGTGTACGTGCGTGTAATCTGCGTGTACGTGGCGGATCTCGTGTCGTGACCCGCGTGTACCTGCGGTGTAACCTGCGTGTAACGCTGCGTGTACCCGCGGTAAGCGTGCGTAGTAATCCGTCCGTGAATTAACACCCGCGTGTCACGTGCGTGTATCTGCGGTGATACGTGTAGCGTGCGTGTATCTGCGTGTACGTGCATGTACCTGCGTGTACGTGCGTGTACCCAGCGTGTACGTGCGGTGTATCTCGCCGTTACCCGCCGTGTAGGCGTGCCGTGTATCTGGCGTGTTAGCGTGTACAGTGGCGTGAAATCTGCGTGTACGGCGCGTGTATCTGCGGTTTAACGTACGTGTAAGCCGCTGTACGTGGCGTGTACCTGCGCTGTAGCCTGCGTGTACGTGCGTGTATATCCCGTGTACGCCGCGTGTACGTGCGTGTATCGCGTGGTACGTGCTGTTACCCGGCGGTGTACGTGCGTGGTATCTCGCAGTGTACCCCGCGTTGTACGTGCGTGTATCTGCGTGTACGTGCGTGTTACCCGCGCGTGTACGTGCGTGTATCCTGCGTGTACGTGCGGGTATCGCGGTACGTGCGTGTATTTCCGTGTACGCCGCGTGTACGTCGTGATCTCCGTGTACGTGGTACGTGCGTGTATCTGAGTGTACCGTGCGTGGTACGCGCGCGGTGTACCTGCGGTGTACGTGCGTGTACCTGCGTGTGACTGTTGCTTGTAATTCGCCGTGTACCGCGTGTACGCTGCCGTGTCTATCTACGTGTAACGTACGTTTGTACGCGCGTGTACGTGCGTGTACCCCTCTGTGGCCGTGCCTGCCGGAGCAGCCATTGTTTACACAATTGCCTAGCTCTAGCCTCGTTTTCGTGGCGATTGAACCAGGTCATGAGAATAATTAATGAAGCTGGTGCCTAGTAGGCGCGTTCACACTACGGACGTTTTGGGGCCGAAGCCTAATAGGACGCTCCCAGGTGATAGCTCCATTAAGAGATGTTCCACCGACTTTAATGTCCATTAATGGGTATGAATGACCATCATAGTATATACTATATTATATATATATATATATATATATATATGGTCATGGTCGTATATTTAATATTATATTAGTTTGTGGTTTAATGTCATTTAGGTTAGGGTTAGGGTTAGGGTTAGGATTATCACTCATTAATCATTAATCACTAATCATTAATGATATCAAAGTTGGGAACACTCCTAATGGATACATGATGCAGTATAGATCATACAGAAGGAACGACTTTCACTACCGGCCAGTACATACGAGATGTGTGGGCGCCTTACTGCTGTTAATGTTGCACCTGTTTATTGTCGTTCATTCCAGCAGGGGCGGGGTCTAGCCGGCAGAGCGATGCCCGGAACAATAGGCCCGGCCGGGCAGCGACGGCACAGCAGATAGAGACTACGTACACAGGCCGCGGTGGTCAATACTCCGTACAAAGGCAACCGAGGAGTTGACCGGCAGGTGCGTACAGGAATGGGACGACCAACTGTTGATCGAGGACAGATTAGAGATGGGCCGCTTGTCTTGCTACCCGGTCGGTGTATCCCCCAGCGTACGTACACAGCACAAATACTGACTGTCGATTGTGACACAGGTACTGCTTACAGTAGGCTGTAAAGACGCTGGCGGTCGTCCCCTGCTGTCCCACTTACAGAGCCTGGCTGCATGCTAGGCGCAACACGAATAAAAACCAACTGTTCTTGTACAACATTTCAGAGCTGTTTTTTGTAAAGCCCCTTTCGCGCGACACAATAAAAGTAGGACGAGTGGAGAAATGTCTTTGCCAAACAGATGGAAGCGTTACCGATGTGCTGCTCGCACACACCCGAGTCGTTGTCCGCTATCGCGATAGGAGCGGTGAAAATTAAACAGAAGAGCAGCTGATTATGCGAGCCGCCGCGGTTCATTTGGAAGGCATTTACGCGTTTAGTGTTGCCGAGGTATGCCGTAATAACTTCGGCAAACACCAAATAGGTATATATAACAGCAAGTGATTTTCAGGCGCACGCATACAGACGGAAAGCGAATGACTGTGGGTTCAAACATTACCATCAGGTAACGCGACCAACAATTCTAGTTGCAAACAAGGGGCATATGGGCCATCGCGGCATTCGTGTTACCTAAAAAAGAGCCCAACTGGATAGGCATTTGTCCCAGACAACGAGTGAGCGAATGAATCGCGGTCAATGTTGCTGATGTGTGTTATAACAACATAAAAATTACGATATGGCAAACACGCTCTTGCGCTATATTGACCATATATAATTTCGTAGCTGTTGTGCCAACAAGCGAGATATAGAACAATATTAACACATAGCAGTGCAATAACTTTATAACCTATGACTTTTTTCGGGAACGCAAAGCTATAAGTAACATTATTAGGTACGAACGAACGAACGAACGAACGAGTGACCGAACATTTTATCAAACGACCGAACGAACGAATGAAAGAATAAACTAACTAATGAACGAATGAACGAGCGAATGAAAGAATAAACTAACTAATGAACGAATGAACGAGCGAGCAAGCGAACGAACGAAAGAACGTATGGCTGAACTAACGAACAAATGAATGAATGAACGAGTATCGTGAATGCATGAGTATCATGCAGCATGCATCGATGGCTGGGTACCAATTGTAGAAATTGTAGTTTACATCTCACTGCTTCGATGCCGCGATCTCGTCCATGCATAGTACCTTTGCAAGTTTTTTACTAACAATGTATCTAGTATATAATGTAAATGCAAACAGAATTAAATCTTTAAATTAACGCCATTATAGGATGTAAGGAATGATATCTAACGTGCAATACGTATACATTTTACCGGAATTATTGCTGACTAATCGTGCGCTTATATGAAGACGAAAAATACGTTACACGTTCGTGATTATGCGCATTTAACAAAATAAATTTCAAATCGTTACTGTATTCGTTGTACGTACCTACGTATTTGTACGCCGAGCAATGTCTGACGCTCACGTATCTGACGTCGCTGGTAAGGTGTATCCGTCCACGACCCACAAACTACGAATTACTCGAATCTATGAACCAGCTCAGCGATGCTATCGGAGAGTCTTAACGCTCGCAAGACGTTCGCTACTGTCGGTGTCGTACTACGTGTGTCGCAACAATCGCTCTCCGTCCTGCTCACCAATCGGCGTCTAGTGTTCTGTCTGGCAGCTGAACACGAGCTGAGCCGTCATGCTATCGCGCACGGGTAATATGTGAAGACGCGCTCTCTCACAGGTGAGCGGTCAGGTATGAATGATGTCCATGCGATCGTCGTGCTGCTGACTGATGAACGCGCTACGCCTGAGCGAGGCAGCTTGGAAACAGCACAGCCGATGCCATCGTGTAAATTGTATACGTGTTCCAGTTATAGGTGTTTGAAAGTATAACTTTATTATAAAACGGATAGGCGAAATGAGCGTGTGTAATGCGTACCGACGGAGGATTATAGTTTTATTTATTTTCGGACACTTCACCAGAGTGAGTTTGGCGTGTAACCCAGAGAAAATAAGTTTGAGATAACCACATGTAATAAATTACGCGTGCAACTCACAAATCTATTAACTTAATAATAAAACAAAGCAATACATTATATGAAACCGGTTGCAATAACTGTCGAATGACCCTAATATCATATAATTGCTATATCTTTTGGCACATGCTTTCCTACATTCTTTGTCCCAAGACTTTGCGCCCAACTAACTCCATCTAGCGTGCAGATATATTGCATTGTCACTCAAACTAAATCTTGACAACAACAAAAATACACAAAAACACCAACATGTCAGTCCTGTAGGCTGTATTGATCAATTATTTATCGTTTCCCTGTATGTCATTTGCATTTAAGGCGCAGGCAATGTGTTGGAATAGAAAAGAAATGTTAACAAAACTTACACAACCATATTTATAAATTGTTGGCAAGTCACTCATCAGCAACAGAATGTTGTATAATGGTAAATAGTAATGGTAAATAATGGTATAGTTGTGCTAACATGCGCAGATTGTAGGAGGCGCAGCCGGCGTGCGCCAAACTTTTTGGCTTTTAAAACAAAATATAAAACACTTGAAACAAAAAATAAATAAAACCAAACCCGGTGCCACGCATAATATTTCATCAGAGGTTTGTACCATAATTCCATCAATATATATCATCGACATTGACAGGCTCATCGATATTTATGCTCGCAGATGTACAATATATACGAATGTTGTTTCGGAAATCACTTGCGGAATATTGTAGGGTATTGTGTGAATAAATTTAACATGATAGGTCAGGTAAACGCACCAAGGGAATAAAATCATCATACAGTATTTTATTACTCTAAAGTTAAGACGATATTTTAAGTAAATAACAGAAACTCGTAAAATATGCCCACAACTCTAAAGTTCCTCTTTCTTGAGCTTGCGATCTGCTTGGACAGCAGCCACGAAATTTCTGACATCGTCTGCCAGAAGCTCCGGTTCTTCGAAAGCAGGGAAATGGCCACCTCTTGGCATGTCCGTGTATTGAACGAGGTTAGGGTAGTAGCTTGTAGCGATGCATTCTGGGTAGTGAACCAGCTCATTGGGAAACACTGCGTAAGCCACGGGAACCGTAATTGTGTACTTTCTGTAATAACAAAATGTTTGTCGTGTTCTAGATCATACAACTCAGAGAATTGCCTCGCACACTATCCCTCGACCTAGATCAATCAAATTTTCATCAATTAGGGCGGAGCTGTTATAGCGCGCAGCTCCGTTACGCGACTTGTTGTATGCACTGATCTCTATACTAACCTGTATACGTTTAGTACATACCGGTAAGTGGTTGTAGCATGTGATTTTCTTGCGTAAACACGACCATTAACCCGTTTATCTAGTAGGTGGCACTGCACACAACGTTGTATGTGCCAACTAGGGCCTAAAATAGACGCCACCTTTAAAATTACATGCGGATGAATATGGGAGCGTTTATTTATGTCGGAGGTCTAATATACTTAATTTGTCGGAAAAAAATAAAAGAAATATAAATGCAAACCTTAAGAGGTATGACTGTGTGTCGGATCTCACGAACTCTTTGTAGAATCTCATCGATGTCGTGATGCTCTCTGTCACCCAGTATATCATGACGTTGTGAAGCAGCTCGTCTAAGGTAAACGTCTGCGTGGCCAGTCCTCCATCGCGATTGTTTCTGTTATATAGTGATGTCCACGTCGAAAACTTTTCAAGGATCCAAGCGGCCAACCCCACGGGACTGTTATTTAAGCCAACGCCTGCAAGAGGTCGTCGAAATGAGCAAAGAGATGTATATAGCGATGTCTCTTTACGACGGTGCCACAATTGATATAATCTTACTATAATACTGCATTTATGTTCCACACCTTCTCGTTTGCTTCTCTATCCACACAGGGGGATGTTTTGAGTGGAGTATAGACATTATAGATTAATGTGTTATATTAGAGTTATCGTTAGGAATTAAGGTTAGCGTTAGGTTAGAAATTATGGTTAGAATTGAGATCAGAGTTGAGGTTAAAGTTAAAAATATGGTGGGAGGTACAGAGCAGTAAGGGTTACAAATGATTGTATGTGTTCAGGGTAAGAGGTCGGATCGAGCTAGGAATTAGGTTTATACGGTTAAGATTAGTAATGTATATTAGTATATATATATATATATATATATATATATATATATGCATATCCGAGATGGCTGCTCCGGCTGCTCTATACAGCGATACACCGTGTTACGCCCGCAATGCGTTCCAGAAAAACATTCGCGACGAGAAAATTCGCAACGTGAATCCCGTTTGCCTATTGACTGCCACTATATATAATTAGAGATGCGTTCCTACAGAAAATGTTTCCATAGTTAAAATATGTATAAAAAGAAAACTGCAATTAAACGCATATATTGATTATTAAACGATGTAACACAGTATGATGATGATAATACCGGGAGGGAAAGAGTGTTAGAATTAGAAATACTGGGAGGGAGAGGGAGGGGCACATTTACCAAGTGGCAGGGGTGACACAAGAGGTTGTTGCTGGACAAAGGGCTAGTGGTGGGCGAAAGATTGTTTAAAACTAGTGCGATGCGACCTTTTACAAATTTGAAGGTTTGTAATAGTAACTGTAGCATTAGCATCGCGCGCCCGCGTGTATTTACTCGTCTGCGTCTACATGCATGCACGCGTGTATGTACGCGCGTGCGTAGGACACTTGTTCAAACTGACTTGTGCGACAGCGGGACCTTACACGTATCCAGAGAGACCGGGTACAAGATAGCTTTGCGCAAAAGATGCGTTATTCCCCGACCGCCGAGAGCGGTTAAGCCACGCACTTCCGCGGGACTGGGCGCACGCGACCGCGAGGTGTTGTATGTAGCATCTCGCGCTGCCCGCTATACGAATTCGCGCGCCGAAGGAGGGCGGGCGCGCGAATCCGTATAGCGGGAAGCGTAACATCGCGCAGTTTTCGTGAGACGTACGCCGGCTTGACTACGGCGGCCTTGGGGGGAGGGCATGATATATATACAGATGCTCGCACAGTGCCCATCCCACCCCACACCACCCCCACAGGTGCTCGCACGACGTGCCGTCGCCACGGGCAGCGCGGGGTCAGGAGGTTGGTGGAACGTGGCACGTACGCAGCCAGGCTTTTCGAGATAGCATCTAGTGTAAATTCTCAGTGTAAACAAATATCAATCAACGTCGGGGGTACTAAGATGGATACGGTAATTTGAAGCGCACGTCACGCCAAGTATCTTTTCAACTTATAGTTAGTGCAGCGTGTGGAACTCTCCACCGCGCAGCAGTCTAAGCTCAATGGCCGACCCTTGTGTGGAAAAATACCTTGAAAATGCCTCGTACAAGGCCTCGTTGCGCCATCTATGGGACGCCATATGTACGAGAATAATTTCACGGCGTGAAACGGAAGAAATGCAAACTCGCTTTTCTAGAGGAAAACCAAACGCGCCGACCAGCAAACGAGTAATTACGAGCATTTGTATTTATTCTCGACCTACGTGCATAGTCAAAAGGCTTGTGGAATTGCCACAACTCCTCAATTGACCGATTATACGGCTTTATCCTATACCCAAAGGGCACTGCCGAAATTGTTCTAAATAGGGCAGCGAATAAGATTTATTGTCACCGCTGCGCGGCGTTTGCGCGCTTCGCGCGGATATCCGGGCTGCAGATCGTCAAGAATGACCCGACGTTAGCTGGCTGCATATTTGATACGAGTACAATGGTTTTTATTTACGGTGATTGAGTACTCCACTTTTTGAGTAGCAAACCCCCCCACTCATTCTTTTGTAAATTTTACTCACGTTTAAAAAAAATTTCAAGAGCGAATTTTCGTTTCATAACACGAAACATAATTTAAAACAGTATAAAGTGGTCATAATTTAAAACGTATATACGGATTAACGTAACCCGGGTTGTCGTAACGCGGAATATTACTGTAGTTCGATGGCTACATCAATTGTATTTACCTGTCGTGTCAGGCTTAGTTGATTGCACATGATAGTAGCCCATCTCTTCCCACAAGGTGGTTAATTTCTGTATGCAAGGGTAAACCTTCCAGAGCTCTTTCTCTTCGAAGACTAGGGACGGAAATACGGATCCAATGGCAACTCTTAGAATGTAAGATAGTTCCAGTAGATTACCAGCTATCGGCATGTTTGTATGCATTCCTAGCACCCTAAAGAAAGAGGAAAACACATAACTGTAACGGAAACATTTTATCCGCTATATTTACATTATACTCCAATTAAAGTTACCTGATGTTTAAATTATTGGTGCGAATAAGGCTTTGGCTTGAAAAGCAGTAAGGTGATCATATCATGTGAGAATGAGTGAATGCGCCGAAAGAATGTGGCGGGGATGGGAAGTGGGTTAGAGATAGGCACAGTGACCTCTGTATAATAATTATATCTACCACTATTAGCTCATTTTTGTAAAGGTTAAACCATATTTCTAAACCAATTTTAAATAATACATACGAATTTTGACCATTATACATGAACATGATACTGCAACAGGAATTGATTGCACTACCTGTCAGGATAGTAGAGAGCCATTACGTGTACTATTAAAGATCCCCAGTCTCCGCCTTGTACGAAGTAGCTCTGATGCCCAAGACGATTCATGAGCTTGTCAAAAATCTGTGATGCGTGTAATGCTGTGAAACCTAGAAGCCAAGTATGGAACTTGCATAATTACGGTAGTATGTTTAAAAACGTAGTATCACGCAACGTTGTAACATAGAAGAGTCTACAAATATTCAGATATCCTATTCATGATTAACAACGAAAAGAGCACACAAAGACGCGCACACGCGCGCATGCACGAACGCAGGCAAACACGCATGCACGCACACACACACGCACGCACATACATGTGATATGTAAAATTAAAACATAGGAATACGGTGTCTTATATTTTAAATTCGCGCTTTTGATACAGTCTTTTCGTTAGGCTACAAGAGAAAAACAGTAGCATGACGTAGAAAAATGTTGTCTCGAATGCACATTTTAAAACGAAAAATACCGTAATCCAGAAAGTTCATTTTCTTCATTCCGTGTCTTCATTGGTGCCTGTGTGCTTTTTACTTATATATAATCATATTCTGGATAATGTAGGCAAACTAACGTAACATGAAAAGATGTATACTACTTATTGAAGTACAATAACGTACCTTTCTTGTGGGCCGCTTCGGAGAACCCGTATCCTGGAATAGAAGGACAAATTATCTCGAAAACAGGGTCATCTTTTTTTCCACCGTGAGCCAATGGATCGGTAAGCAGCGGGATGATCTTGTAGAACTCGTAGAAGCTTCCCGGCCAGCCATGTACCATTAGCAGAGGCGTCACATTCTTGTAACTTGACTTCGGTTTGACGTGAACGAAATGTACGTCTATGCCGTTAATCTCGGTGAGAAAATGTTTGTACTTATTCAGTTCCACCTGCGCATTCTTCACATCGTATTTCTGCCGCCAATACCTCACGACCTTCTTCAGCGTATCCGAATGAACACCATACTGGAATTCAACGTTCGGTAGGGATTCCGTGTATCTTGTTCTGTCTAGTCTTTCGTACAGATCGGTTATAACCTCCTGCGAGAAGTTAACCGTAAATGATCTAATCTCGTTATTCTCGGCCAGAACCACTGGCCCTCTTCCCCACCAGGGCGTTCCCAGCTCCGGTAGAGGTGGCGGAGGAGTAAAGTAAGAAGACTTCACCCACAGTCCGACTGCCGACAGTACGAGCGCAGCCACACCGACGAGGCAAAGGCAGCACCACGAAATACGCATGCTAGTAAACAGCTATATTCTAGCCTACAATCCGTATTGTTTTTGTCCAATATCCTAAGAATCGCTCACATATAAACGAGTACTGGCAGCTAATGATTTAAAACAACTCCTGTACAGTGTGTGCATGGTGCGGTCGTTCCAAGGGTCGTCACAGAAATGTAGATACATATGTTTACATGTATGCGATATGTAGCATTGGTAAGACAAGCAATCTTCACGTACCTCGATCCTGTCGCTTCGTGAGTGACAATTACTGATAGCAGTCAGCGCCGTACGCAGCAGGGGGGCAGCAGGGGCAGTTGCCCCCCTAGAGATTTTCAGAGTATGCATTTTAATGGGACAAATACTGTACACTTTTAGAAATAAAATAGAAATGTGACAAAAGGTTATCTTAAATCATCAAAGAAATATTACACTTTAAATAAAGAAATGTGAAATTGCGAAACGTTAGGGCACAGGGGGCATGGGAAGTACCTTTGCCCCCCTACAGAAAATTTCCTGCGTATGGCCTTGATAGCAGTATTAATACAGTTATGTATTGATACAGTTAACATCGAGGTAGTATGAACGCGCGCGTGATTAACTTTGGTATCATGTTTACTAATGGAATTTATACATCGAACTAGTTGATTACCCTACTATCGACGTTCTATCACGACGACCAATTATAGAAGCTGTAAAGATACGAACACAGATCTAACCATATCCTACGACGTTTCGTAAAGGCTGGAGAGGCATTAGAATAGATACTTTTTATATAAAAGTAATCGGAGTAAGTACTCTATACAGTACTTTAAACTTATAACTTAAGTGACTTAGAGCCCGGCGCACACGTGAGTAATTTTACTCAAGTAAAACGATGCATGCGTCAAAATACTCACGTGTGCGCCGGACTTTCGTTGAGTTTTCTGACGCATGCATCAAGAAACTCAATATCAAACATGTTTGAGAATTTTTGACACATGCGTCAAAATACTCAACGTGTGCGCGCTAGCTGCGTAAATTTACTCAACACTGGTACTCACAGCCAGCGCGCAAATCCATTTTGAAATGAGGGGGGGACACTAGTAGCGAGCACGCGAAGGACGCCGAAGTGGGCGGGGGGGGGGTCTGGAAAATTTTAAATTAGACCCCTCAGATGCGTTTCTGCGCGAAGTAGGGGGGTCCGGACCCCCTGGACCCCCCCCCCCTTGTAACACGCCCCTGCACACACACACACACAACAACACACACACACACACACACACACACACCACACACACACACACGACACACACCACATCCACACACACATGCATTTGGTTTGTGATAAGATTACGAAAGGGTGTGTCCACATGCATCATAAAATCAAGAAAACTAAAAGCAGAAAAATCAATCATTTGGTGTTGAGGCTGATCACAAAATATATTGGTCCGTTATTATTGTTGGTCCAGTCATATATATATGCGTGTATATATTATCATCAATTTGCAATGAAAATTACATTATTAAAACCGATGCTCAGTTAGTCAGTGTCCCTTTGCGTGTAATATAGCTCGTGTTTCCAGCTTAATCCTTGAATCAGTGTCTAATGTGAGTGATATCTCCTAAACTTTCATAACATACTTTTTCTTGATGATTTCTGCATAAACTTATTAATATAAGAAAAAAAAAAACGTGTTAAAAAAGAAACGTACTAAATTTATCAAGACACATTTTCTTAAGTGTGTGCATGATCATTATTATGCTCTCAAATGCACTTGAATAAAAGAAAGCTGCAAAAAAGGAAAAAGAAGCCAATCGTTGACCACTATCACAGCACAATGCATACCTCCGCGAGCGTGTAACATGTATCCCATGTGTATAACAGCTGGCTCGCTGCTGGCTGCTGCTGACTGGAGCCCTAAGGCGAGCTGCTGCTGACTGGACGCCCTAAGGCGAGCTGGTGCTGAATCGATCGATCGGTGAGCGTGTGTATAACAGCTGCTGCGCTGCCTGGCTACACACACCAACACACAGTCACACGAACACACACACGCGAGCGATTGCATGACCTCCGTTGCGCGGAGTAAAAAGGTTCTCAACTTCACAAACACACACACACACAACACACACACACACACACACACACACACACACACACCACACACCCACACTACACAATACACACACACACACACACACACACACACACACACACACCACACACACATACACACACACACCACACACACACGAACACACAACACTTACACACAAATCATGTGATCCAAAAATCGTGGGGGACATTTGATATGATGTCCCCCCCCCCTCTTGAAAATTCGTGGGGGGGGACATGTCCCCCTGTCCCCCCCCCTGAATTGCGCCCCTGCTCACAGCGCATGCGCATGCTCCATTGTGCGCCCATTATTGGCTGCGCACAGTCACGTGATCTGCATTACCACTTATACCTTGAGTAATTTTACTCAAGGAGCTCCTTGATTTTACTCACGTGTGCGGCGGACGCTGAAAATATTTCGCGTGAGTATTTTGATGCATGCATCATTTTACTTGAGTAAAATTACCCACGTGTGCGCCGTGCTTAACATGCGCCGTTGAGCATGTGTAAACACAGATGTTCCCTATGTTACACAATAGATGAATTGTTGGAAATAATGCCCGCTTTTAATTAAATAAAGTGAATTAGGTTGGGTAACATCTTTCATGTCGAACTACTCCCGTGTGTTCTCCATTTTAAATGTATCATGTCAACCAAATTCTTTTTCACATACCGGATACGCGCAGACATAGGGTTGGCATCTACGCTACAGTAGGAGGAAGATTATGTGCCTTGTAATTTTTAAGTTAGACATTCGAATCTTAAGGCGTAAATGACCAGGTACTAGGAAGACCGATCCTCGTAACTTATCTAAATAGTACCGAAGAATTTATTTTTACCGTAACCACACGGGAAACGAAATGAATCAATGGCGCCACCTATAGGTTGAGGATAACATAACACAGAGAACGTGTATCATATTGTAATATTATGATATACGTGCTCTGCATAACATCTCTCAGCAATTTCCAGCTATTTCCATATAGTGTAGCGGCCGAACGAAAAAGGCTCTTATTAAGGAGATACCCCTACCGGAGGTATAACAAGCTGGGACTGGTCTCATTTTAACCGTCTGGATCCCCTAGTTATGAAAAGCCATGTTGTAGTTGCCAGTAACCTTGGCCAACATGCGAATTTAACCCCTTTTTTACGGTAAAATCTGAAAAAATTACATTTTCAGTTACTTGATATTTTATGAAATCAGCCCATTATATTTTATAATTGATGTTATATCAATGTATTTCAATGAAATAGATATTAAGCACAATGTATTTGAGGCAGTTTTATGCTGCTAAGGGGGAG